TAAGGCCACAGGCAAAGAGGAAACAGATATTAATTTAAGATCTATGATGCTCTAATCTGTCCTACCCAGAGGGTCCTTAATTAAAGATATGTGAGAAATTATCTATGGATGCCTGCCATAGATGTGGGCAAAACATCAGGAGAGAATGCTTCTGGAAAATAGCCATACAGCCTGGAAAACTCACAGCAACCCTATGTGAGAAATGTGAATAAACTATCAACAGCCTGAAAATACAAAACTATATGCAACAAATACTTACATTAATACAGAAATAATAATACTAATAATAATAAATGTGTCAGGCTATTACAATTGCTTAGAGTTAATGCACCTTCATTTATTTATGGGAGCATATGTAGATTGGTGAGGTTCCTTCCCTTTGCATATCTATACATATAAAAATGCTATGTTTGTTTTGAGTGACATCATAACTCAAAATCTGTTGGAAGAATTGCTGCCAAATTTGGCCACAAGACACCTACTAACCCAAGGAGTGACCATCACTAAAAAATTGATTTTGTCATTTGAGAGTTGTAGTTGCTGGGATTTATAATTCACCTACAATCAAAGAGCATTCTGAACTCCACCAAGTTCTGTGTGCCAAGTTTGGTTCAATTCTATTGTTGGTGGAGTTCAGAATGCGCTCTGGTTATAGGTTGACTATAAATCCCAGCAACTACAACACCCAAATGACATTTTTTTTAGTGATGGTCACTCCTTGGGTTAGCAGGTGTCTTGTGGCCAAATTTGGCGGCAATTCGTCCAGCGGATTTTGAGTTATTTCACTCAAAACGGACTGGAGAGCAAACAAATTGAAAGTAAATCCAGACAACACAGAGGTCCTCCTGGTCAGTCGTAAGGCCAAACAGGCCATAGGGTTACAGCCTGTGCTGGATGGGGTTACACTCCCTCTGAAGGCGCAGGTTTGCAGCTTGGGAGTGATCCTGGATTCATCGCTGAGCCTGGAACCCCAGGTTTCGGCAGTGGCCAGGGGAGCTTTTGCACAGTTAAAACTTGTGTGCAAGCTGCACCAGTACCCTGGGAAGTCTGACTTGGCCACGATGATCCATGCTCTGGTTACATCCCGAATAGACTACTGCAACACACTCTGCATGGGATTACCTTTGAAGAGTGCCCAGAAGCTCTAACTAGTCCAACACTCGGCAGCCAGGTTGCTCACAGGAGAAGGGGACAGAGAGCGCACAACTCCCTTGTTACACCAGTTCCACTGGCTGCCAATTAGCTTCCAAGCACAATTCTAACTGCTGGTTTTAAACTATAAAACTATAAACAGTTCCGGCCCAGTTTACCTGTCTGAGCGTATCTTCCCCTATAAACCATCAAGGACTTTAAGATCTTCCAGAGAGGCCCTGCTCTCAGTCCCACCCCCTTTGCAGTTGCACTTGGTGGGGACGAGAGACAGGGCCTTCTCTGTGGTGGCCCCCCCGGCTATGGAACTCTCTCCCCAATAAGGTTAGGTCTGCTCCCTCCCTCCTGACCTTCAGGAAGCAACTGAATCAGGTATTTGCAGATTAGAAGTACTGACCCGTTAAAGACCAAGAGTTATTGGACCACATTGATTGGATTGAGTTGGATGATGTTTTTAACTTGGTGAACTGTTTTTTTTACATATATTTTATAATTTATTTATTATTTATGCTGTTTTAAAATGTGATTATATTGTATAGCATTGAATTTTTGCTGTTGTAAGCTATTCTGAGTCCCTTCACAGAGGTAGAGAAGAACGGGATAGAAAAGTTCTAAAGAAATAATTAAATAAAATGAACAGTGTGTGTGTGTATATATATATAGACAGATAGATAGATAGACTATATATATAAAAGATAGCTAGAAGATAGTAAGATATATATGCAGAGGGAAGGAACTTCACCAATCTACATATTTATTTATTTATTTATTTACCGCCTTTCTCAGCCCGAAGGTGACACAGGGCGGTTCACAATCAGCAACAATTTGATGCCTCCACAACTATAAAATACAAGTTTAAACAGATTTAAATACAGTTTAAAACATTAACATATAATATATAATATAAAAACCATACAAAGCCATAAAAACATAACCTTCAACGTCTCCTTAAAGCTGTAATCCAAGTGCACTGTCAAATCGTTCCGAATTTCATCTTTATCTATGTTGCATTAGTGAAAGCTTGTTTGAAGAGCCACGTTTTAACTTTCTTACAGAATGTTAGGAGGGAGGGGGCCAATCATATATCCGTGGGAAGGGCGTTCCACAGCCAAGGGGCCACCGCTGAGAAGGCTGTCTCTCGTTCCCACCAAACGCATGTGAAGGAGGCAGGACTGAGAGCAGGGCCTCCCCAGAAGATCTTAAGAGTCCTAGATGGGTCATAAGGAGAGATACGTTCAGACAGGTAAGCTGGGCCGGAACTGTTTAGGGCGTTATAGGCCAAAGCCAGCACTATGAATTGTGCTTGGTAGCAAACTGGCAGCCAGTGGAGCTGGTGCAACAGAGTTGTATGCTCCCTGAGTGCTGCTCCCATTAGCAACCTGGCTGTCACGCGTTGGGACCATTTGAAGCTTCCGAACAGTCTTCAAAGGCAACCCCATGTAGAGTGCGTTGCACTAGTCTATACGGGATGTAATCAGAGAATAGACTACTGTGGCCTTGCCCCTTGCTCCTTGCATGGCCTCTTACATGTTGTTGTTCATTTGTTCAGTTGTTTCCGACTCTTCGTGACCTCTTGGACCAGCCCACGCCAGAGGTCTGTTGGCCGTCACCACCCCCGCTTGAAGTCAATCCAGTCACTTCAAGGATGCCACCCATCCATCTTGCCCTTGGTTGGCCCCTCTTCCTTTTTACAAATAAAGTTAATAATAATAACTACAACTCCCAGATTACTACAACTTCCATCCTGTTGAGTCAGTCCCCCCAACCCCCACCCCAGTCTGTTCAGTTGCTGATCAATTCCTCTGTGTTTGCTGTGTTCCATAGGAAAGGGTTAAGGGAGATGCAGTGGGCAGGGCCATGCAAATTCCACACAATGAACCCAGGGATGCCTGCCTGTAGTGGAGGAAACACAGCAAATCTAGAATGAAATTCTCCCCGAATGCAAGCATTCCTTGGGTGGTGGGCCCTAGTGTTTGGTGAGAACATTGGCAGTATTTGGGCTACATGTTCATGGTGCTCACTATAACCTGCAATGTCAGTTGAGGGAGTACCTTTGGAGGCTTCTTAGCACTTGGAACTATAGCATGAACTATAGCCGGTTCCGCGGTCATGAGGCAGGATGCTGTCTGTGAAAGTGGGCACCTCCACCACATATACACATACACATTTTTTTTCATTTTTATTATGTGTATAGATAGACAGACAGACAGATAGATAGATAGATAGATAGATAGATAGATAGATAGATAGATAGATAGAAGATATAGTTGTTGTTCATTCGTTCAGTCGTCTCCGACTCTTCGTGACCTCATGGACCAGCCCACACCAGAGCTCCCTGATGGTCATCACCATCCCCAGCTCCTTCAAGGTCAGTCCAGTCACTTCGAGGATGCCATCCATCCATCTTGCCCTTGGTCGGCCCCTCTTCCTTTTGCCTTCCACTTTCCCCAGCATAATTGTCTTCTCCAGGCTTTGCTGTCTCCTCATGATGTGGCCAAAGTACTTCAACTTTGTCTCTAGTCTCCTTCCCTCCAGTGAGCAGTCGGGCTTTATTTCCTGGAGGATGGACTGGTTGGATCTTCTCGCAGTCCAAGGCACTCTCAGAACTTTCCTCCAACACCACAGCTCAAAAGCATCTCTCTTCCTTCGCTCAGCCTTCCCTAAGGCCAGCTCTCACATCCGTAGGTTACTACAGGGAATACCATGGCTTTGACTAGGCGATCTTTGTTGCCAGTCTGATGTCTCTACTCTTTACTATTTTATCGAGATTGGACATTGCTCTCCTCCCAAGAAGTAAGCGTCTTCTGATTTCCTGGCCACAGTCTGCATCTGCAGTAATCTTTGCGCCTAGAAATACAAAGTCTGTCACGGCCTCCACATTTTCTCCCTCTATTTCCCAGTTGTCAATCATTCTTGTTGCCATAATCTTGGTTTTTTTGATGTTTAGCTGCAGCCCAGCTTTTGCACTTTCTTCTTTCACCTTGATTAGATAGAAGATATATATAAACCCCCCCCCTCTCTCTGTCATCGGCTGGGTTCAGTGTTCTCTGGATAAGGGTGAACTACTACTCCCAGATTATTACAACTTCCATCCTGCTGAGTCAGTCCCCGACCCCCAAGTCTGTTCAGTTGCTGATCAGTTCCTCTGTGTGCCATAGGAAAGGGTTAAGGGAGAGACAGTGGGCAGGGCCATGCAAATTCCACACAATGAACCCAGGGATGCTTGCCTGTAGTGGAGGAAACACAGCAAATCTAGAATGAAATTCTCCCCGAATGCAAGCATTCCTTGGGTGGTGGGCCCTAGTGTTTGGTGAGGACATTGGCAGCATTTGGGCTTCATGTTCATGGCGCTCACTATAACCTGCAATGTCAGTTGATGGAGTACCTTTGGAGGCTTCTTAGCACTTGGAACTATAGCCTGATTCTGAAGGCAGGATGCTGTCTGTGAAAGTGGGCACCTCCACCACATACACACATACACTTTTTTTCATTTTTATTATGTGTATAGATAGAAAATATATATATAACCCCACCCCTATCTCTCTCTATATGTGTGTGTGTGTGGGCTCAGGGACCTTACTCGTGTTCATGCTGTACTGAGAATCAAAACAAGCAACCCTGTCGGCCAGGGCTTCTGGCTTGAGACTGAGCGACTAGGCCGCAAAACAAGCGGTGCGTCGTTGACGTCGAAGCGAGTGGGAGGGCCTGCGCGTGACGTTGACGGCGCGTAGACGGAGGCCCGCCCCCTGGCTTTCTCCCTGGGGAGAGGCGTCCGGGCGCGCGCTCGCTCGCTCGCGCTCCTTCCCTCAACAAGACGGGGAAGGCGGAGGGGGGTGGGGTGGGTGTGATGAGGAGGGGAATGGCCGCGCATGCGCAGTGGCGACGCTCAGCGGCCGCGGCGATGGCTGCGCAGTGACGGTTGGACCTAACGGTTGCTATTGACATTGGGGCCGGGCGGGAGCGCGCGCGCGCGTGCGGCGGGAAGTGCTAGAGAGGGGGGGGGGGCGGTAGGAGAGCCCTCGAGAGCGCGCCTCCGCCGCCGGTTCCGCGGTCATGAGGCCGCGCTGAAAGTCGGGTGGGAGGCCCCGCGTCCTCCCCTTCCTTCCTGCCTTCCTTCCCTTTCCCGCCGGGCCCTCCACCAGAGCCGGGCCTGCCGCGCATGTAGGCCTCCCGTCGGCCTGAGGCCTGCAAGGCCGCGATGGAGTAGCAGCTTGGGCCTCCCTCGGCCGCTCGGAGCAGAAGCGGGCAGGCCGGGGGCCGGAGCAGGCGCAGGCCCTGGCGGTGAGGGCGCCTGGACGCGGGGGGGCCCGGGCCGCCGCCGCCTCCTCCTCGGCCGCCTCCGCCTGGCCTGCCCTGCGCGCCGCGCTTTCGCCTCAGCCCAGCGCCGCCGGCCTCAGCGTCTGCGATGAACCCGGTGAATGCCACGGCCCTGTACATCTCCGCCAGTCGCCTGGTGCTCAGCTACGGCCCCGGAGAGGACCCGCAGTGCCTGGCCGAGATCGGCAAGCTCCTGCCCTACTTCCGGCAGTCGCTCTCCTGCTGCGTGTGCGGTGAGTGAGCCAGGCGCCCGCTATTGTTCGGGGCCTTCCCTCCCTCCCTCTCTCCCTCCCTCGCTTTGCCTTGTTTTGGCGTCGCCTCCTCGCTCGTTACACCCCCTCGAAGGGGCAGGGAGCCGAGCCGCCCTCCTCCTCCTCCTCCTCCTTTCCTCCCTCCTCCTCGGGAGGATGAAAGAGAGGCGCCAGCCCCTCCAGGAGTGCGCGCTCCTGCTGCTCCTCCCGCCGCCTCTTCCCCTCTCCTTCCCCTCCCCTCCCGCCTGGCCAACGGGCGCTTTAAATGCCAGGGAGCCTGGCGAAGGAAGAAGGGGAGTGGAAACGGGCAGGAGGACCCGGCTGGGGAGGCGGCTTTCCCGGCTCAGGAACGCCTCGCGGAACACTTTGGAAAGTCTTCACAAGTTCCCGGCAAGACCTGTTCTGTAGAATCGGAGTTAGGGTCCTTCCACACAGCCATATGACCCATGATACCAAGACCGGAAATCCCACAATATCTGCTTTGAACTGGGTTATGTAGCAGGGAATACTCAGGGCCCTTCCACACAGCCATATGACCTATGATACCAAGGCGAGAAATCCCACAATATCTGCTTTATGTATTATCATTTATTTACAATATTTGTATACCGCTTTTCTCACCCCGAGGGGGACTCAAAGCGGTTTACACATAAGTAATGGCAAACATTCAATGCCAGTACAAACAATTACAATTATACACTGCAATTAGACATAAATCAGATTAAAAAATACATCCATGAGCAATAAAACAATCTGGGTTATATAGCAGTGGGAACTCAGGGCCTTTCCACACAACCATATGACCCATGATACCAATAATAATAATAATAATAATAATAATAATAATAATAATCTTTATTTGTACCCCGCTACCATCTCCCCAAGGCAGTCCTGTAGCCGGGGGGGGGGGGGGGGGGGGGGGTTAGGGGTTCAACCCTCCCCCCCAAAAAATTTTCAAAATTTCAAAAAAAAACAAAACCTGGTTTACTCATGAATTTTAACTGGTTAACCAAATCCCCATGCTAAGTCTATGAGACGCAAAAAATTAAGAGTCCCTCCAGAACTGCAAGCACTATCTCAAGCAAATATTGACAATTTATTCACACTGTCATTACTTGCAGCAATAGCTGATGTAGCAAAGCAACCAGGTTGGGGGGTGGGGTGTTGAATGCTCTCATTAAGGAGGCCAGACTTGGTGGAGGTGGTTGACAGGGGAGGAGCTGCAGGCTATTGAAGGCTGCTCTGCCCACTGCTGTGCTCTTTGCTTCAAAGTGAGCTAGGAGGCAGGTTTAACCCCCCCCCCCCCGAGATTTTCAACCCTCCCCGAATTTTTTTTCTGGCTATGGCCCTGCCCCAAGGGACTTGGTGCGGCTTACATGAGGCCAAGCCCAAAGTACATTAAACAAAACATCAATAACACAACATTAATAATGATACCAAGGCTGGAAATCCCACAATATTTGCTTTGAACTGGGCTATATAGCAGTGCGTACTCAGGGCCCTTCCACACAGGGTGAGAAGGGCAGCATATAAATGTCGTAAATAAATAAATAATATATCCCAGAATATCAAGGTAGAAAATCCCACATTATCTAAGTGTGGACTCAGATAACCCAGTTCAAAGCAGATATTGTGGGATTTTCTGCCTTGATCTTCTGAGTTATACTGTATGACTGTGTGGAATGGCCCACAATATCTGCTTTGAACTGGGGGCCCTTCAACACAGCCCTACATCCCAGAATATCAGGGCAGAAAATCCCACAATATCTGCTTTGAACTGGGTTATCTGAGTCCACACTGCCATATATTCCAGTTCAAAAGCAGAGAATTTGAGATTTTATTTAGCTGTGTGGAAGGAGCCTTAGAAGAGACCGCAAAGGCCACCCTTATAAACCTCTCTTATTAGGTTATGTTTTTGTTTTGTTTTTTTTACTATAGGGCTCGGGATGTTTAACTTGTAGAAAAGAAGGTTGACAGAAAGGGGCATAATAACCATGTTTAAGTATGAAATATCACTTTGAGGAAGGGGCAGGATAGAGTTCTGGTGCTATGGAGACTAGGGGCCCTTCCACACAGCCATATAACCCAGAATATCATGGCAGAAAATCCCACAATATTGGCTTTGAACTGGTTATCTGAGTCCACACTGCCATATATTCCAGTTCAAAGCAGAGAATGTGGAATTTTATTCAACTGTGTGGAAGAGGCCTAGGACACAATGGAGCAATGGATTCAAACTGCAGGTTAAGAGATTCCACATAAATATTGGGAGGAACTTTCTTTTGACAGCCTCTTGGAGCGTGCTTCCTTCTCTGGCAGTTTTTAAGCAGAGGCCGGACGGCCATCAATTGAGGGTGCTTGGATATTCTACCATTGACTTTAAAATGACTGTTTAGGAACAGTAGGATTTCAAAGGGAGATGCCACCGTGAAACTGTTGAATTAGAACTTTCCAGGTGGTAAAATATTACTTGTGACTTGAATTAGAATAATAGAATTTTTTTATCAAGCTACATGTGTTAATAATTTTTAATATTTATGTTATAAACACCATAGCTTTGTGTGGATGGCCATTGTTAATAATATTGATGCCACTACTGTCACTGATAAGGCTGAGAAAGGCAATATACAAGTATAATAAATAAATAAATAAAATGTTATTGAGGTTTCATTTTTTTCTGACCTCACTGTTTACATTCTGTCCCAGTCATATATTTGTATCTGGCAACTTTTGAGTGTATTATATCATAATACCCTCCAAATGTTATCCACCTCAAATGCCACAATATAGCTGTTAGGATTCTAGGTATCAAGACTCCTATAATAGATTTCTTGTCCTACGAAATGAAACATTCTTGCCATCATTCAGATAGGAAACAAACTGCTTTTTGTAACATATAATTGAGGCGATTGTTTGGACTTTTCTTTGTATAATAATATATTTAATGTGTTAGTTTTGACTTAGGTGAGTGGCCCAAGGGAGTATGAGGGATCGTATAATGAAGGTTAGATTATTCCTGGACTGATGGCTCGGGTTTTTTGTTTTTGTTTTGTTCAGATAACACAGAAACTTGCACACAGACAAGCTGGGTGTTGAGTCACCAGCGTGTAAGGTTATGCTTCTGTGTTCAGCCAGCTTGCAAAATGTAAACAAAGTTACACTGCATAAGGAAGAGTTGTAAAATGTTCTATATTCACTGCCTTCTGGTTATCACATCTTAACATCAGAGAAGCTAAATATGTTTAACTTAATATTTGGAGAAGAGCTTATAAAAGACATTCATAAAAGAGAAACATGAAGTGATATGTTTAAATTGTTCTTGCCAGACTTTTGACTTCATGCCTATAATCCTATTTTTAAAGAAATTAAAAGCAATTAGGGTGAAACAATAAAGTGAAAATAAGAATTCGCTTCTGAGACTAGCTAGCTCATCATATCTTGACCTTCCAGGCAGAAAATCCAGATGGTGTCCAATCTTATGCTGCACTCACCTGATCTTCCCATCAATTCTGTATGCTTACCTACATTTGTTGCTGTGATGAAGCCTTCACTACTTTAATTCTCCCTGCTTTATACCAGTAGAGCGCAAACTTAGTATAGTTTAAATGATATCTATATGAGCTGGCATGATAGTGGTTTGAATGTTGGACTATAACTCTGGAAACCAGGGTTTGAATCCCTGTTTGTCCACAAAATCCCCAGGGTGGCCTTGGGGAAGCCACATTCTCTCAGCCTCAGAGGAAAGCAATTGCAAACCTCATGGGAACAAATCCTGCCAGAAAACCCTGTGATAGGACTCTTGAATGCACAAAACTAAATACACACACACACACATATATTAGCCATCCTTTGCCATGCGTTGCTGTGGCCCAGTCTGTGTATATGTGTTTTGTGTGTGTGTATATGTGTTTTGTGTGTGTGTATATGTGTATATATGTGGTTTTGCGCATGTGTTGTAATGTACTTTTGGGGTTTTTTTTTTGCTTTTTAAGTCCCTTTCGCTGTGTTTTCCAGTGTTTTTATGAGTGGTGGTCATTCGTTAGCCTGATAGGTGTATTGTGTCCAAATTTGGTGTCAATTCGCCACGTGGTTTTTGAGCTATGTTCATCCCACAAACGAACATTACATATCTATCTATCTTTAAATAAATAAAATATCAGGCCAGTTTCTTTATGTCCATGGATTTGAAGTAACAGTTTCATCCTGTCTTATGATAATATTAGCTTTGAATATTAGACTGATGTGCTAATTTTGGGATTGATATTACGGTGATTTTTGTCGTTGTGTTCTAATGATTGTGTGTATGTTATCAGGTTGTCAGACACTGGCTGGAATATATATCATCTCATATATTGAATTCTTCCCTTGATAACTTTATGTACTTAAGCTGACTTCAGTTATATACATACAAGTTTTTTTTCCTGTAACCAAGTCATGTCCTAAGAACCTGCAAGATTATTTAGTCTCTAAATTGAGTGGGAAACTGCTATAACTGTTCCTCCCCTCCCCCCGCTTGCAGCCAAACTGCAATATGGAAGAAATGCTCTTCTGATGCCTAATTGGTCTGGATGTTGGTTTCTTGTCACATCGTGGGTTTAATTTTGGTGTTTGGAGAGGTATAAAAGGCCAAACTCATGTTGAGACTTCAGGCAGAGTGAGCATGTGCAGAGGTAAAAGCTCTGAAATGAGTCCCTAAGTGCACTCCTGAAAGGCTTCAATTTTATTCCTCTTGCTAATGATAATAGCCAAATAAATCCATGCCCTGTTCCTGTCCCATCATAGCCAAGACTCATTTGAAAAGAACAAACCCCGATGTATGGTCCTGGTTTGTGAGAAGAGAAACATTTCAAGGATCTCGGTTTATGCACAACACTGAACTATATATGTTTCTTGATTCCTTTAACCACTTCTACTGGCAGAGAGAGCTGAATGAAATGCTTATTCAGGTGCTCCAGAATTTTCAGCAGTGCTGTTGACATGTG